TTTTTTTTTTTTTTTTTTTGTGCTCGCAATTTTCTGGGTATGTATAAAAGAAAACGATGCTTTTTTTTTGTGTTTTGCTTATAGTTTTTTGTTTTCTAATTTCCAGTCAGTCTTAGTGGACTTGTGATAAATTGAGGCTCTATACGAACAGTAGATAGATGAATTGGTGAGCTGACTTAAATGGAAGTCCGTCTCAAGTATTTTGGAATGTAATGGAACATTTTCTACTCATTACAGCTTAACAAGCCAACGCTAAAAGTTCAAAGGCATAATATTGTCTGTGATTTTGTTCCACTTCATTCATCTGTTAAACCCTGTAAAATATGCAAAATGGATTCAATTAATTTCTGTATTTATTCTGAACTGCGAAGCAATGGTATTACAATGTCTGGATCTTTCTTGATATTAAGGCCAAGTTTCTCCTGTATTTCTTCCTTCCCGTCCAGCATTTGGCGTTGCGCTTGTTGCTGTTGTTGATCCAGAATGTGCTACTTCGGTATTGCCATCATCCTGACTTGATTGTTCTTCCGAATCTTCTCGGTCTGGCGATTCCGCAGTAGTTCTGGAAATAGATCTATAGATTACTTGTAGAAGTGGTATGGTCATAAAGACTTGCGGGGATTAAATCTACAATTTTGTTAATAAGGTAGCTGTAAATTATGTTGGGGAAAATTTTCATAGGTTCAATTTCGACTAACGTAGATGTTTCTTGGTGTCGTTCTGCAGACGTAATTCTTTGCGTTGATGAAGGAGAATGAGTACTTGCTTGTGAGGATGTTCTTCCGGGAGATTGACTTAAATGTACTCTCCCGCCTCTTGATATTACAACATAACTTCGGCGCGATCGATCGATGGTGCTCGCTGAATGTGTGCCTAAAAATGGAGTCATTTACTAAAACGATGACGACGGATTTTCCATACCATCCCAAAGTAAGCAAACTGAAATCCTTGAAATTATCACACAAAATACCAATTTGGTTAGATGGTACTGGCAATTGACTAGCAGTATTGGGTGTCACCACACTGTTATTAGAATTTTCAAGTAATGCCAAATCCGTAGGAGTTCTACCACCAAATTCTGCGTTCAATTGATCATCAATCATTCGCTCGAAAAATCCTGTGCAGGAAGCAGAATCAAAGAATGTCTTGTCGCTAGATAAAAGGTTATCGATTAATTTTTACAAGTGGTATGTTACTTATTAATGCAATGAAGATAACTTGCAATTGATTTTGTTAAGATGAAACTTTTTCTCAAATCTGGTCAAATATCTTCAGTCGTGTCCAGTCAGACATCATCAGACATCAATCATTCTTTGCCTTTGCGTGTTTAGCCCTCCTGCTTCTTCGGCTAACTCTTCAGTTGCTATTTAATTTTGCAACTAATTCTGATTTCCAATTCAAGTTAGAAGTTTTTCAAATTCCAATTTTCCCAAATTCTGGACTTTCATCTTCTTATTGTCTTTCTCTCCTTCACATTTTATTTTATTTACTTGCAATAGTAGCCATCATCATTTCACCAGGATCCTCGTTTGGTGGTAGTTGAACTTGTGCAGCAGCTTGCGGTTGCGGAATTGGAGATTCCTCGGTTGCTGTAACTTCTGTAGTTTCCATAGCCGTATCCACGTTTTCGCTCATAAAAAACCACCATCCTGGTACCTGGTACAACTTTCACCATTGAAATGCTGTTTTTCCAATGATATTTCAAGTTTTATGGTGCTTTTTTCATAGTTTACTACATTTTAAATTTTACATCTTCAAAACTATTTTTAAAAGTGGTTTGAAATATTTCTCAGTGGTCACTGATCTGTATTGCAAACCAAACCACAGAAGTGTTTCCTTTTTTTCATTAGAAGATTCTTTTTTTCGTCTTAATTGTTCTCATTGTTTTAAGAGAGATAGACGCATAAAGAGTTACTAATGAAGAACTAAAGCACATCTTATTTGAAACTGATTTCAGCAAAACAAAAAACGCCAAGTGCTGTAGCATTTTGAAAGGCTTGCTTCCTGAATGTTCTATGAAGCATAACGAGCTGAAATATCTGATGTTTTTTTTCTCTTTGATTAGTCTTGACTGCAGGTTTGATCACCGGATGTGGATATTCAGTGTTGAAATGTTTGTATGGTTGCACCCAAACCATATGCGACAATAACTCACAGTGACCATGCATCCATTCCTGCTGATACAGTGAGTCTGTTCTTTTACAAAATGTCACCTGCAATGGACTTGTGCATTGGATGTCTTCCCTACCCCTCTGATTCCCTTACCCTNTGATCAT